TGGTCGACTTCTAAATGGCCACCATGGTCACCACCCATCTTGAGGAGTTTGCCCCCTCACATATACTAATGTGCCACAAACAGGACTTTAATATCACCAACCATTCCCATGTTATTACGCTGTATCCATATAAATGGCCCACCCTGTATATCTGTCTTTTAACACTGTTTTAGTCATCCAGACTACATCTAGGTAATTTCAGTTTGTGTGGTACATTCACACATGTGGTTAGGTAGTCAAGGTTTTAACTGTTGGAGCATGTATTCTAAATATCACAGGATTATACTCATTTAATTGTGGGAATCCAAAGTCCTGATCAAGATTAAAGTGCTTAATTATGTGTCCCTACCTAATCCCACTTTAAAGAAATCAAACCCATTTTAGCGAGAAGGGGTGCTGAATTCTCTGATTTCTGTCCTATGCAAGTGAAAGATGTTGTTTTGGCTCAATCAGGGGTTTTCCTACATAGAGCGAATTTTGGCAGCACCCCAGTGGGTTTTTAGTCACAGCCAATGGAAAATCACAAGTGAAATAAATGGTCATAAATAACAAAATGCAAATATAGCAACACATACATACTGCTTTGCCAAAGACCCGCTTTAATCCAGGAAAAAACCCGTAAGCATCATTTGTGAGTAGTTGGTTAATACGACTATGCCAACTGTGTTTTCAGGTCAAGAGGGAGCAACCATTGACTTTGATGAGGGAGTTTCTATTACTCCTTTCAACCTGGAAGAGGAGATGCAAGAAGGACACTTTGACTCAGAGGGGAACTATTTCATCAAAAAGGAGCAACAGATTAGAGACAACTGGCTTGATAACATTGACTGGGTAATTGAATTCCTTTGTATTACACCACTGTTTATTCTTTCTCTCACTGTTTTTATTTTTTTGTCTGCTTTTTTCAGCCCGAAATCTGCTTTTGAGTGTTGGTGTCTTTGTATTTCACGAGTTTGTAATCTCATTTTGGTGACAGGTGCTTCATATTTTAAACAGTGTTCAGTAATAAAAGTCTCTTCTTTCTTCAGGTGAGAATAAGAGAGCAGCCTTTCAAAAAAAAGAAGAAAGGTCTTGGAGCCAAAAGGACACGCAGAGCAGGTGATGAGGACGAGGCAGAGGAAGAAAAACAGAGAGAAGAACAGCAAGCAGACCAAGAAGAAGAGGAGGAGGAGGAAGAGGCAGAGCCTCCAGAGGACCCACTGGCATCCTTCACACAGCACCAGCTCACTGAAGCTGTCATCGAACTACTGCAGCCTGGAGAAACAGTCGCTACAGCGCTCCGTCGGTTAGGAGGCCTTGGAGGACGGAAGAAGGGAAAGCTGAGGGAAGAAGAAAAATCCACAGAGGAGACCAAAGGGGATAAAGAAAAGCTTGATCGGCTCACAGCGCTAGCTGACCGACTGGTTGGATCCGGGATGTTTGAAATCTATCAGCAAACCTACGAAAAACTGGCCTACATGTTAAAGAGCATGACTAGCAAGCGGCCAGCGGTGGGGGGTGAGGAGGAGGAAGGAGATGAGCTTGACATGTTTGCTGACAAGTTTGATGAGAAGCATGGTGAAACAGCTGAGGACAAAGATGACAATAATAGAGGTAATTTAGTTATTTTATCTGCTTTAATTTTCAAAGACTGTATTTTTGGTTTAATCCCATTTTGCCTTCCATCCAGTGAGCGATGAAGTGATGTGGGAGTACAAGTGGGAAAATAAGGATAATTCAGAAGTCTACGGCCCTTTCACAAGCCAGCAGATGCAGGTACTCTCCTAAAACTACTTGAAATTGAATAACAGGACTTCTGTTAAGTGTTTGTAGGTGACTGTTTAAAATAATCAGAAGGGAAATGGTTCCCTCTCTGGCCATCGATAACGGTAATCGAATCTTTTTAGACCAAAAATCTTTTCATCCTCTAAATCTGAGGCCTGGGTTTCCAACTGGGAATGGGTGGAGTGTCCATTCCGTGTTGGGGAGGTGTTGCTGCTCGAAGTATCTCAGACTGTTGCAGCATCTGCAGTAATGCAGACACTGTACTGATCGATTGTGTTGAAGACAGAGTGTGAAGGTGTCGATTCTCTGGTCAGTCTATGCTCCTAATCTCAGCTATGGTTTTGGGTAGTCATTGAAAGAATGACATCACAGATAGAAGTAGCAGAAATGAGCCTTTTTGGAAGGGGGCTGAGATAGGGTGAGGTTGACTGTTTGGGAGGGTTTCCCCCCTAGAAGTGCTGGAGCAGGTGGCTGAGAAGAAGAGGTCAGGGTGTCTCGGCTGATAAGAGGCAGAAAATTAATGAATAGATTATAGCATCTTATACTGTACATTATCCTAATTGTAAAGGTGTTTGTTGTGGATCTAGAGCAATGTAATAATGAACCTCATAGAGTTAAGAGCTTTTAGGTTTAAGGAATTTTAAAAACACTAATGACATTCAGCTTTGAAATTTGAAATATCTTATCTTCTGGTGTCTTTCCAGGACTGGGTGGATGAAGGCTATTTCAGCAGTGGTGTTTACTGTAGGAGGGTGGACCAGGAGGGATCGCAGTTCTACAGCTCCAAGAGACTGGACTTTGAACTCTATACATGATTTACATCGAGTATTGAAAACTTTGAAGATAATATTATGTTTCAGCTACAATCAATTCTCAGCCTTTTCATGTTTTTTTTAGGGCTTTGGTTTCAGATCTGCCATTTTAACACTGGTTTTGTTTTCTGTACACTTTTTTTTAAATAAATGATGTATGTGGTGAAGTAATCTGACATGTTTCTGTTAATCTTAGAATCAGATGACTCAATTTTAAGCTCACTGTGTTTTATTTCTTTCTTGACATGTGCTGAAAGTTTAAATAGCCTTTCCAGTTGACGGTACATGTAGCACATTTTGAGAGACTGAATTATTCAGTTATTGTAGAGTATTTTACACTTATAACCATGGTAAAAAAAAAAAAAAAGGTACACCCTCTTTAAATGATAAGGTTTTACTGTCTGGACATAATAAAAAAAATCACATATTACAGAGTGTCATTATTTAAAACAAGCCAAAAAGAAGAAGCAGTGTGTGAAAGCATCCTCACTGGTTCCACAGATGGATACAGTTGTGGTCAAGAGTTTACATCCACTCATGGGTGTGAATGTCATGGTAATTTGGGGATTTTAATTGATTCTTGGAACTATTCTTTTTCCAAGGTCGAATGATTAGACAGCATACATCTTTAATGTCTTTGAAAAAGAACAACTGGGTGCACATGTTTGAATTTATTTTGGATTTTGTCTAATCCACACAAGGTCAAAAGTATACATACAGACAAACATACATACAACCCACTAATATTTTGCTAAACTTTCCTTAGCAAGTTGGACCTCAACCAGATGCTTTTGGTAGCCATCAACAAGCTACTGGAATAATTCTGGCTTGATATTTGACCACTATTCTTAGCAGAATTTGTGAATGTTTCCAGGCTTTTAAACAGATGAGGTCTGGCTTTTAATTGAATGTAAGGGACTCAACTTTTATGCATTTTATGTTAAAAAAAAAGGGAGTATAAAGAAGTATAAGCTATAACCCTCCCCCTTCTTATTGTTAAATAAATGACTGCAACATTCATCTTCCTTTCAACAAAACTTATGGCCTACATATATCGAGATGTAAATTGCACCAATGCATTAATATGTATACAAGCTATACAGCTCATTCATATATACATACATTGACCTATATCTACACAAGCATATGTACTCATAGATGTAGTCACGCACAAAATCACTTATGTAGAGTCAATGTTTCGACTCTTTATTCCAGAATGAATAAATTAAGAGGGTAAGTAACAGCCCACTGCTGACTCAAAGCAGAACTTTTTGGCAGTTTTGCTGGTCCCCAAGTAATTCCATGGAGGAAATACATCTGCAAATTATTTAGAGAAACAATCGTTGCGTGCCAGTCAGTCTGGGAGGGGATATATGACTGTTTCCAAACAATTTGAAGTTTATTATTTTACAGTGAGAAATATTATTCACAAGTGGAAAACATTAAAATATTCACAGTTATGAAGCTTTCCATGAATCAGGAGTTAGTCACTGAGTGGACCATGAACACTATACACTAAAGTTTTCTAGAGACAAATCTGAGGAGAGTTAAAGCTTAACTGGGTCATACAGCAGGACAGTAGTCTCAATGCAGCCGCAAATCTATCACCGAATGGCTGAAAAAGAAAGGAATCAAGGTGTTGCAGTGGCCCAGACAAAGGCCAGACCTCAATCTGATTAAAATGCTAAAGCGTAAACAAATCTGGCAATCCTCACTGAACTGAAAAGAAGAGTGAGCCAAAACCCCTCCACAATCATGTGCAAGACTGATAAAGTCACACAGGAATTTTTACAGGTACTATTAAGATACTTCTGCCGTGGAAAATGCACATTTTCCATACAGAAGAATATACGTAGAAAGTAGAAAAACCAAAATCCAACTCTGATCAACTTGCGTGCATGTAACAAAAGATGGTGAAAGATGGTGCAGTAACTGTTCGATTAGCTGAGTGACTATTTAGTAAACCTAAGAAAAAGAAGCGGTTTGCTGTTAGATGTCACACGTTATACTAAACTGAATTTTTTTTTTTTTTTTTGGGGGGGGGGTATGCTAATATTTGGTATTTTTATGAAATTATGCGAGCAAAGCTACTTATTGTTGCATTAATAAGTAGTGAAAAAACAGCAACCATTCATAACTATCAGATAAAGCATAGGTAAAAGAAAGAAATTAATTAAACTGGTTAAAAACGTATTTGTTAAATATATTTTTTGACCCTGAAGAACAACATTCTGATTCGATGCCATATAAGATACTGGGTCACCCGAGGACGTTAAAAATATAATTTTTGCAGCCATTTGTCTTTGCGTTCCTATTGGTTGCCCTCAAACGACGACCCTTGTGATCTTCTTCTGATTGGTCAAATTTCAACAGGACTTTCCGGGCGGAAAAGAAGTTGAGCTGTGATTGGACAATCCGTCTGCCTAAGATGTTTGGTACAAACGGATAACATCTTCGAGTCACTGCAGGGCGCCGTCGCTACTGCATGTCTTGTTTACGGTGAGGTCAGTTCGCTACGCTGCGGTCCAGCTTATCATTTCAGGTAAGTTTCTTTAATCCTGTTTAGCTGCTATAACAATTTGCGGCTAAACTACGAACAGAAGTTTAGCTCCCCGATAAAAAATGGTCGAACCTTTGGAGATGACAGTTCTTTGGCTACGACTATTGCCTGGTGCCGTAACTGACTGCCGTACACTGTGAATATCGGCGTCAGCCAAGGCATGCATTGTTGGCAGAGTAGTCTTAAGGCTCCACTTCAGATAAAACGCAGTATTTTATTACGACAACCATTTCAGTGGTTGAGTCAAGATTTGCTGTAGTTTTCGTTCGTTGGCTCATAAATAAAAAGTTTAAATGTGAATCTGTGATTTCCAGCAAGTAGACCTCACCCAATTTTGATGGTTTCCATTCGATTAAAACCGCTGACTGGATTCCTTCGTGATGGAATAGCAATAAAACTACGGTGCATTTCCCTTTTACTGCTTTCTTGTTTCTATCAACTTATGTTAGATCTAAGCTTAGACAACTTTTCTCTAACGGACTCGAGGCGCAAGTGAAAGGATACGGAATGCCAACCACAATGACTGGCATAGATTGGGAGCTGAAATTCAAAGGTTGAGAACCGAGGGTTTGCCTCCAATTGTACTTTTTATTATAATATTAATTGCATCGTTGCAATTTCAACTATTATAATTGGCGTTTATCAATTTTAAAATGATGTACTGTGAGCAAACGTTTATTTGCACGTCTGGCCAATGCTGCACTTAAAATCTAATTATTTCTGCGTCATAACTAAGCATAAAATTACTACGAGAAATTAATCTTTTTTTCACCACGTTGATAGGAATTTTTATAATGCACAATAATCAATTATTGTTTTCAGTGATTGCTGTATTGTATTAACGTTAACTATATTATTTGTACTTGCCCCTATCTACGTTTTGTTGCTTTTATTTAATCATTTAGTAGGCTATAATATCAAATATCCAAAATTTCTGTTTAACTGTGTTTTTTCCTGGCCTTATATGATATTAAATCTAGACTTCTGCTGTGATGCTATGTTATTGTCAGACATTTTGTGTATATATTCTAAAAACTTATGCTATTATTTTTTATTTTTTTCAATTGCAGAATAAAGTCCCATCTCAGAGTTTAGCAAAGTAAGTGAAAAATCCATTTCAAGACTTACTTTCAAATGATGATGTGCTGTTTTGGTGCCCCGCATGTTTGTTTTATTTTCCATTATTGTTATTTACAGAGAAGGCCAGACAAGGAGAGGGAAAAAGAGAGCGAGAGAGCAAGGGGATGTTGACTTATCCCTCTGACTCACTCACTCAGATAGTTTGTCCAATGGATGAAGATGATATCCCCCCAAACCCTTTCTGTAGTGCACCTCCCCACAGTGAACCTGCACCACCTTTCCTCTCCCTTTCCTCCATCACTCCCAGGTATAGTTGTCCTGGCACCTCTTGCTTTATTTTGCTCTTTGTATAATTTCCCCTTCTTGCATTAGGGCACTTTTTTTTCTTTATGAAACAATGACTTTATGATCTGTAGACACATAGTGGGATTACGCAGATTAAAATGATGACAGATTCCTTTAATATCTTTAAATGTTCACAGTTTTAGTTACTAATAGTGTTAATGTTCATCTTATATGTGGCATTTAAGGGGCTTCTATACAGCGATGCATTTTGCAGATTTGAGTATCCTGATGTTTTTTTAATCCAAGTGTCTTCAGCTGCCACCTGGGATAAATGGCACAATCTGCCTAACCTGAGGGGTGTAGTATGAATCAAAAGCAATGGGTTAAGCTTCCAGTTAGTCTTCAATGTCACGAAGTTGGTTCCTTTTTTTTTTTTTTTTTTCCTAGCCAGAGCAGGTTATGATCAGAGTTGTAGTTTAAAATTTCACAGATTCAAAGTGTGATATAGATTAACTTATGAAGGACTTCATCTTATACAAGTAACCTGTTGAACCTTACCTGCTAATACCATCTAATAAAGCCATGCAAACCCTGCCCATACTCTTGACTGAATAAAAAAATTTCACTCGGATGAGGTGATAGTTTAAAGTGATATCCATATCACCTTCATCAGGACATGGGTCTGAATCAGATCTAAACACATTGAGCAGCCTGTAATTTCAAATGCTTAAAGTTTCAGAATTCTAATGCACTGTTGAGTGGAAAAGTAAATATAATAAACCATTCATTCACAAGATTATTGATTTTTTTTTTTGTCTCATCTTTTGCAGCAATATCACTACATTTTGTCATTTTATATGTACTTTTAAAATTATCTTGATAGAAAATATATTTTCTGTTCATCATCACTTTTTTGTGTGAAAAAAGGTTGATCAAAATACATCAAAAGCCTTCTTTTATGCGAGCTTGCACAGACCGTGAAGCACGAACCTTGGGTTAACAGACCGTTCATACCCACAGTTGTGATGCCTGTTGTTTCAGCCTTAAGTTTTAGGTTTTGTCAAGGCAGCTAATGCAAAGAGAGCCTGGCTATAGTGTTGAACTTGCTTTGTCGCACCCTAAAGTGCAGACAACCACTAGTGTTTAGCTTTAAAAAGCCTCTCCAGACAGCAGGTGGATCTGTGGAAGCTTGCAGGTAGACGAGCTTAGGTGGGATTATCTGTGTTTTTATACGTATTTAAATGGCAGAATCTGTTAACCTGGTTTGGTGTAAAATTTGTTTAGGATGTTGAACTTTAATTGTCAGATGGCCTTGTAGCTATCATATTTATGCAGGCTGGATTTCGCATCTTTTCTATTCCCGTGACACTGCATGTCTTTCATCATAACTTGGATAAATGGGTTTCTTTTCTTTTTTTTCTTTTTTTTTTCTTGTTTTATCCTTTCACAGCCGTCCACATGATGGAATATCTGGCCACAGAAGGAGTGGTCGCATTCAAGGCATCCGAGCTCAGACTCCTAAAAAACAAAGTAACACAGACAGTCAAGCGGCTCAGAGACCGATTAAACAGAATCCGTCCCCCACAAAGAGACAAAGAGAGAGTGGGATTATGGTAGGACTCTTACATAAAGTCTTTTTGATGGTCTTAGGTAATGAAATAAATCACAGTTAACACACCATCTCTCTCATTTATAGGTGCAAGTGGCACAATCTAAGCAGTCGAGAGTGGAAGGAACAGATGCACACGACAGCCAAAACAAGGTAACTGTCTGATTCTCTGAGATACGTTTTCTTATCACATAGCTCTGTAAGGAATAGATTAAAAGACAAACTGAGACGGCCTGTCTGCATGTCCTCGGTTATATTTTTTTCGGTGTCTAATCTCTGCATACAGACGCTGTACAGTAGATCTGTACAGTGAATTGGGTGTGAGGGTTAATTGAGCGATTTAATCCTCCTTCATGGTCTGCTGCATTCGACATAGACAAGCAATCGAGTGTTATAATGTGACCTAATACTGTGCAGACCGCAGATTTTTAATGTAACAATGTTTTCGTTGCAGAAGAGTATTTGTATTACAATTAAATCCAGAGCCAACACTTATAACTAAATAGGTTACTGAGCTACCAAACTTGGTCTCAGCTGTTTACAACCGATTTTGTCTCACCAAATTTTTAAAAATGAGCTTCTCTTAATTTTAATCTACGCAGTGTGATTTTATTTATTTTTATGAAATATGAAGGGAAAACTGGGGAGGAAGGAGGGACATGAGACCCAATAATTTGTTATAGTTATGCAAAACATTATATGGAAAATCTTTCCCTCTATAAGGAGCAGCTAAATGTTAGCTTGTTAGTATAAATGCTCAGCCAAGCACACCTTAATGTTTACAAATTATTTCTAAAATATTTATGTTCTTATTTTGCAGGATGGATTTGATTTTGGCTTTACAGCAGCTTGGCAAAATAGGTAAGTGTGACTGATGATTTTTCACAGTATGTATAGTGCATTGCCATTTAGTAGTCTTGATTTAGGCCTTCTTTTTTATCTTATCTTTTACAACTTCATTAAGTGAATAATAAAATATTTGTAGTGATTTTCCAGGGGGAAAATCACTGATGACATGGATAATGAAATGCATTTATCTGTACTGTAGAAATCTCTATTTCTGTGATTATTATGTTATTATATTTGGATATTATACAATTCCTGACTTTCTCTGGAAATCAAAATTGACTTTTTTTTTGTTTGTCATAGGCAAAAGGACCAAAAACTCCCAGAGCAGAAATTAAATCTGTCTCCAGGAGAAAATGTTGTTAAACTGTTGGATGAAAATGTCCCAGAGAGTCTTGATGCCGCCAAATCTGACATGGATACATGCGGGGATGTGGCTGCTGGACACACTGTTGAAAATGCATATTCCCCAAAGGGATGGGTGATCGGCCCATTGTTTCAGTCGTTCAAGTCAAAGATGGCCAGTTTCACAGAGATAGTCATGAGTCCTGTTAAACTTTTCCGAGCCAGCAGTCCTCCACCGTCAGTGGACCATTCTGACAGACTCGATGAGCTAAAGGCTGATGGAACAGCTGATGTTGAGCGTTCAGAGCCAAGCAGTACGCTTCATCCTGAAGGACAAAGTGAAAATGAGAATCAGCACTGCAGAGCTGATCAAAACGAGCTCACTAATGTAGGAGATGCACAAAACACACAAACTGTTTCTCCTAAATATTCTAAAACATTAAATTTTGATGAGGATTCAACAATAGGTTCAGAAATCGTTGATGAATTTGCAGTACACCAGAAGGAAAAAACCTCACCTGCCTCAGTGCCTTTGCCACACTGCCCCTCACAACTTGATGTTTCAGAGTCTGTTGGCTCCTCTGTCGTTTTACGGTCCTCTGCAAGTGTAAGTGCCTCTTGTGAATCCAGGTCAAAGATGTGCATTGTTTTGGTGGACCAGAAATTCAAGACTTCTGTTCGTCTAAAACCACTTTCCAGAAAACGTGCAGGAAATAGATCTGGCTTGAAGAGGGTTGACTTCAAGGAAGAGTCTGACCCAGAGGTCAGTAAGAAGCAGCTTTCTTACCAGAGCCTGGACTCAGGTGACACTGAAAAAATGCTGTCTTCATCTTTCTCAGTTTCTTACCCTCAGCCTGGCATGGACTGTTTTCAGCCCGATGGTGATGAAAAGAAGGAGACTGAAGAAAGCTGCCGCTTGGTTCAAGAAAACCTCCAAAAGAGTCTCGATGACAGTGTTAATAAAAGGACTCTGAGGTCCACTTTAGATCTGCAACAACAGGAGTGGCGGCTAAATCAGGACAAGTGTTCAGTTTCTGGTTTTGTGAGAGAAAAGAGAGGGTTGAAACTGAACTGTCATTCCCAAGACTCTGTAAAAAGAAAAAGACTGACACCAGATACACATACAAAAGTTACACAAAAGCAAGAGTTATCAAACACAGCTTCAGGGAGAGAAGAAATCGAGTTAATTAATGAAGAAGCACTGAAGCTTGGAAGACAGAGACAGTCTGTTTTTGTGTCAACAAGAACGACTAGGAAAGGAAAATCTGGTCAAGAAATGCTTGGTACAATCAATGAAGCTGTGTTGCACTCGCAAACTGAAAGTTCCCCTGATGCTATGTTGGTTTGTTCACTGGATAAAAGCACTGGTGTGGCAGAAGACAACCACATGAGCTGCCAAATCAAAGCAAGCTCTACTACTTCATGCAAAAGGCAGAACAGAATAGTTATTAGTAATTCTGATGTAAATATTGATGCCAGTATGGGTCTTGAAACTACTGTAGCAATCACTTCTACAAACCAAGATGAGCCGTCGTCCAAAGCGCTTGTCCGTCCTTGTATAAAGCAGCTCCAGAATACAAGTAAGTGCAGGAATATTAACAAGAAGCCACAGAAACGGAAATCGGCAAATCAGATAAGTTCAGTGACAGAATCAGACAGCTCTTTGGTGTCTACCTCATCGGTACTGTCAGTGGGCCTAATGGAATTTGTGCCTAAGGATTTTAATACCTCTCAACATGCTGAAAAAGGAAAGGACTTGATAAGAGGGCTGAGCCAGCTGTCTAAGAGACCCAAAAAGGGTCTTAGAGGTGCTACTCAATCATGTGTATCAAGTAGGACTCTAGAGACACAGCAATGTGTCATCAACCTTCAAGAGAGTCGGTCTAAAGAAAGGAAAAGTAAAAACTCAACGGAGACTGTATATTTTGAAATGACTCCCTTTGAAAGTAATTTCCAACCCCTTCCTTCACCTTCACAACTTCATGTGGACTCTCCTTTAAACAATGATATTGATAATAGGCACGCTCAGAAGAATCTAAAGAGTTCAGCTTCTGTGGCAGAAGAAATATTTCACACGGACTCTGAAGTTTTTAATGATGGGGGTGTCAGTCTCTCTAAGCTAAGGTCTAGCACAAGAAGAGCTAACATAAAGCCCAGGCAAGCAGATAACCAAAGGAGAAAATGCCGAGTTCTGCACAGTAGGACACGCAAAAGTGAAGAGGTGACAAACTCTGTCACAATGGATGATGTAAATCTAGCAACGTCAGGTGCACGCTCATCAGAAAACGACTTCTCACACCGCCTGTTACGCAGCTACTCTTGCCCAGAAATCCTCTGCCTCCATCCCCATGACACAACTTGGACCTCACCACATCCCAGCAGGGCTCTCACATCACACCAGTCCTCCCACAGTCCTTCTGTCTCTCAGGCGCAGAAATCCCTGCGGCGGGCTCGACGACACACAGTCTGCAGCGTGGAGGTGGAGAGGGAGATCGCCCCCCTGTGTCTTCGTAAAGAGGTGTACCCATCTAGAAGATCTACCCTGTACGACCCTGTCACTCATCACCTGTCTCCTAGTATTGCACTTTCCCCCAGCACCTCCATCTCTGCTCTTGCTTCCTGCTTCCTTTCGAGCCCCCTGGCTTTCCTTTCTAAGAGGTTTGACAGCAAAGGAGTTGCTGGCAGTCTCAGCACTTGTAGCCATGTTTCCGCTCCCTCCTCCGCTTCATCTCTTACATCCCCATTAAGCTCCTCCACATGGCACCATTCAAGAACAGATTCCTCTGGTGCTGCCATGGATTCTAGCAGCAGGTAACATTGTTCGTTAAAGTCTGTAGTATGCTCGGAGGTGTTAATGCCAAGCTAATATTAACTCTCAATTTCTCTGAAGTGGGAATCCATTGGAGTGTGAGACTGAGAGGAGACAACAGAGTGAGGAGGAGGATGATGGCGAGGAGACAAGTTCTTCCAGTCAGGAGTTTGAAGATGGTGGGCTAAGAGAGGAAAAGGCTCACTCTGATTCTGAAATTAAGGTACACGTTATTTAAAATAAGGTGACGGGGTATTTACAGATGTGTACAGTACAATTTACAGTTTGTTAGTTGCCACTTTCAGCCATACTTTTCTGAGATCACCGCTGTTATTTGTGCTTTATTGTATTTTTAAATAATCGTTAATCTCTTTGTTTATCTCAACAGATGGAGCAAAAGCATGAGGAACGAAGAAAGGTGTCTTCTATCAGAATTCGAAAAACTTTACCCAAGCCTCAAAATAACCTCACACCCATGGGGCTGCCCAAACCCATCAGGTATGTGCTCTATATAAATAGGTATCAGGTTTTATTTCACTGTTTCAAGCATCACTAGGCATCAGTTATGTTACACGTTTTTATATATATATGTGTGTATACATACACAATGTGTGTATATATATTTTTTAATTACATGGTGCTATTTATTAAACATGTTGATTAAGACACTAACAAATTTAATATTTTGCCAGCATTTTTCTTTTGTTATGTTGTGCGTTTTTACACTTGAAGGTTGGAAGCTAACTGTGGGCACAAAAAGCTCAGATGATGATTTATTTATTTATTTTGCAAGCTTTGATTTCAATTAGCATGTAGCGTGTATCTTGACTTAAGCGTGTATCTTGACTTAAGCGTGTATCTTGACTTAGGCGTGTATCTTGACTTAAGTATATGTGTGAGAAAGTGTACTTGAAGTAAAACTTGCAGTGAAAGGGGTAGCTCGCTATAAACGAGCAGTATGTAATAATGAGTGAAATGAGACTGGGGTAAATGCATCGCAATTTTCATTTTATTAATTTTATCCTTTTTTTTTTTTTTTTTTTTTTTAAATATGTCAATATCAGAATCAGAGAGACTTTTTTTTTTTTTTATCCCAGAGGGATTTATTAATCACAGAAGAAAATTTATATATATTGGTAAATTCAGGATCTATGGTTTGCTTCAAAATCAAAAAAACATTGATTTCTCCTAGCTCCAGTTCAGTTGGGACAAAAAAGTAGGACAGATTCTGACTGATCTACCACTGAAAGGAAATTTATGTCAGTGCATTTCAGTACATGTGAGTTCTATTGATGTCTCTTTGATCAATAGAGATGCTCCAGCAGTGGTTTGTCTTTTTGTTCTGTTACATTACAGGCTGAAAAAGAAGGAGTTCAGTTTGGAAGAAATTTACACCAACAAGAATTTCAACAAACCCCCTGAAAGGTAAGTTTGAGAGAAGCAACCACTGTTCCCTTAATTATTCCGTTTCTGAATATGTCTGCTTCACGTCTTATCGCCACTCTTTTCCTTAAGGCAAAGATAAGATTCTGCTGTGGTCCTATTCACAGCCTACAGGCAGCTTTGCAGACTTCTGTTGATTTGTAGCAGCTGTTTACTGTCACCAGCATGCAGGATCTGCAGCTCTGTGCTACGCTTGCTTGTCCTGTTGTTGGTGCTTGCTTGCCGTGGAGAAGAAGGAATTTATAACAAATAAATGGCTAAAGTCAAACAGAGTTTAAAAACAGTCAAATTTAGGGCTGTTAGATATAACGATATATATCGGATGACGATATTAAAACATCTATCGTTTCATTTTACGATATCGTTTGTTTCGTTGTGTCGCAAAATAAACTGTTTACGGCAATATTTTTTTTTCATTGTTTTGATGGTGACTGCAGTGGCTATATTAATTTCTTGAAGTTCTCTCGTTTTTTTTATATTTAATATAACCACACTACTGACGGACAAGCGTCCGTTTTTATGCTTTGTCGTTAGCAACAGCAACGGTAAAACGTCGCGTGTCCGCTTGTTTATGTTCCACATAAACCTTTCACAATAAAGCTCAAGATCCTGTTGAGACTTTTCAAAATGAACTGAATCACATGAAACAGTATGCAGAGTGTTTAAGGATGAGAAGCAAAAAAGAGCCGCCAGGTGCTAAAAAATAAACCTTAGACTCAAACGTTAAAACAGGCTTTTCCCCGCAACATGCCGTGTAATAAATACTCACAAAAAAAACAGCAGCCGTTACAACTTATGTCTAAAAATGTATCATTTCATGCATCGGTTAAAACACTCTACTCCATGTACACGACGCCCAGCTGGAAAAACTTCACGCAAGTCGAGCTGCCCGAGAGTCACAGAATTTACAGAAAATGTTCAATTTTTGTGACTTATATCGTTATTGGGACGATAAATGTCTTATATCGAGATATGAAATTTTGGTCATATCGCACAGCCCTAGTCAAATTTGTACTACTTCTCAGACTTTCATATTCTTTGTGTATTGCCTAATATTTGAAATATCACTATCAATCTTGTATAAACTTGCTGCATTAATCAAATCCTGCTTGGGACACAGTATAGTTTAGTAAAGAAGCTTAGTCTAACCAGAGGGTGGCACCACAGGAAAAGTCATATAATCTAAATCAGCTGAATCATTCTATTAGAAATTAATATAATTATTAGAAAGGTGTGGTGAGTGTGTTTGTGTGTGTAATCAATTTTCTGCTGCTTTACCTCAGTGACCTGACTGGAATTTTTCACTTGCATTTCAGCCGGTTGGAAACCATATTCGAGGAGGTGCCTCTCAATCGCAGGAATGGCTCTGAGTCCTGGTTTGGTCAGAGGCGTGTGAAACGATTTTTAGAGTTCCTGGAGGTCGGCGAGGTCAGAAAACCAAAGAAGCCACTTGTCGGAGTGAGTAAAGCAGGTATTTCCACTTCCAGGACCCGACGAGGGGGCTTCCTTAAAGACGAACCGTCCCTCAGCGTGCAGGATGTGGACTCGCTGCTCTGTGCGAAGCTGGATCAGCTCAATTTGTGGCTGATTCATGATCAGAAAGACAGCTGACCGATGCCTCTCAGGTGACTGTTTTGGCAGCCATTAAAAACCAGATAATACTGTCTATATAAATATTTCAACATGAAGATTGAGTGTGCCAGCAACTCTTTTTGTCAACACAGTCTGTATAAATGTTTTGGTGGCAAGTTCTAAATGAAGAATGTTTATTCTGTGGCGTTTGTAGCCTGAAAGTTGAAGAACAGTACATGATAGCGCCGTTAAAAGTATTGCCTCATAAACGTGGTTAAGAATGTGTAGAGTAAGTCGTTTTTCAATCATTGCCGTCGCTGTCCCTTCAGCAAAAAAATCAGCAATATGAAAAGCCAAACTCCCTGTCAGGGTGACTCAGTGCCATTCACTTACAGTAACTGTGTGTTTGACAAGTGATAATGCACGTTGTGTCAGATTTCTTCAAGTGCATTTGGGCCATTTGAGGTGCAACTTTAAAAAAAACCCAAAAAAACCTGAGATTTAAATTTTTATGTTTAGGGGGAAAGGAGATTAAAGTGTCACAGTTTTAAGAAAATTGAAAGCCTGAAATCATAACCTCAAAGGAAGAATGGGCTACGTTTTTACACCAGAGATGTAAAGAGCGAATCTTAGGTGCAAATGTCAGTGAGGAGGTGCAGCAAAACCCAACGCATAACTGCGATCAATTTGTATTTTGTTTTGTTTCTGCCTGTCTGGGTGATGGATGATAATATGGTTCTCGACTTAAATTGCCAGCATTTATATAGTTCTTAATTATTCGTGTCAGTCTGTGATATGATGAAATTGATCCAGCCTTAAAATTTCTTGTAAATTTATGAATTTAATCTTTGGTGTTCTTGTGGATTACGACTTCCTCGCTAGCCTATTCACCGAGAATGGCCCTAATACACAGAATCCTAATCAGCTGTCTGTTTTTGGAAGAAAGCAGTCAATCACCTTAGATGTTGTGACCTTACCACATCATTGTAAGTGGTTATATAGGCAGCTATTATTATTATTTTTTTTTAATTAACTAAATGCCGAATACAATTTACTCTTCAAGGTGCCAGGTGGAGATTCATAGTCACTGGACTCGGTTTCACAACCACATTTTGTACAATCAGTCGTCTACATGTAGTTTGGACTGCATACGTCATTGTACTCAGCTCAGGGCAGAGCCTCAGTGAAATGTTTGTGTTCGTGATTTCATAACTGTGGAGGTTTCTTTTGTATTAAATGTGCCATAAAGACAATATGACTCTCCAGTAAGCATTTCTAATGATTACTGGAAGTGTCCACTGCTGTTTTTCCGTGGTGTTTATATTTGCATTGCAAGTATTAACTTGTCATTAAACAGCCTATATGTGTTTATTATATATTTGCCAAATGTTAATGGGGTTGCCTTAACTGTAAAAATGTGTTTAAATAGGTGTTTTGTCTGCACATTTGTAATCATTGGTGGGGGTTTTTTCTGTGCGTGTTAAAATGTTTCCAGCAACTCAGAGCACAAAAGTCATTTTATTATAAAATTGTTTAATGTTTGTATAAAAGTGCAGCATATATACATTTGACATTAATAAAGCGAATACAGTAACAATGCAATAATGCCAATGTGGTACACCAAGAGCAGGACCTCATAATGTCCTGATGAAACACTGCCACGATCACTGCCACGCATTTTATATCTGGTAGAGACTCAATCCTGAAGTTATTCTTTGCTATAATTGAGTGGCTTGTTGATTGATTCATTAACTTTCTTAATATCTGTAGTTATCTACAGTAAGGAAGTTAAAGTGTAATGGAGAGTATTAAAGTTTGGGTAATTACTGGAGCGTAACAGGTGTAATCTTTGATTTACAAATGTATATGTGTAATATTGTGTCATGTTCTGTAACTATAGGCAATGCTGGATTTTTACATTTGCAGTTGGAATTGTCCACATGTCCATATAATGTCAAATAAATATTACAGCATATAACAAACAGTTTTAATACATTTAATACGATTTTCAGCTTTGTTTGTTCTTGTAAAGGCTGATTAGAGCGCATTCAGCACAAGCTAAGCAAAGTCAGTATTTTTAAGGCTATTGTAACTTTTAGTTACTCCATAGCTTCAGTGATCTAGTTGATCAGAATCTTTAAAGACACTCCCCTGGATGTGCTCCACTGAGGTTTGTCAATCAAAGCCCAGGTTTGATAGGACCAGCACCAGTAATACCAGTGTCAAAGACGCTGACACCAGGATGGAAACCCATGTCACGATGGAGATGATGCTCCATTTTTTGGCCTGTCTTAAATACTTTGCAGCTCTCCTTTCTCTTGTCCGCTTGGCTTTCTCTGCTTTGTCAGCATTCTCAGCCTGGTGAAGTAAAGATGTGACAATACTTTTGATTTAAAGATCATGCCTAACAAACATGAATGACTAGTGTATATAGTTGTAAAGAGATGTAGCAGATAAGGTGTTTGTCAAATATAAACATGCTTATCCTCATAAGAAAGTTTTCAAATGCTGGTTTGCTGCAGGTTGCCTGCCTGCAGAGAAAATAACTTACCTTTACAGAATAAATCAAGGCTCGGACTCCGAAGCAGGAGAACCCGCAGATGATACTAGAGATGGCCAGCTTCCTGTGGTACTTGTCACTGCAGCAGGACGCAGGAGAGTCCTCACCGACACAGATTACTTGATTGCCAGTGTCCTCAGGTTGTTGAACACCTGTTCCTGGTACAGAGTTCAGCGGGAGCGCTTCCTCTATCGGTGCATCTAACTGATATGACTCTGACATCACTGCAAAATATGCCGTCAAGTTAGAGAAAGTTTAAACTCAAAGACAAGACGTGGTAAGCTGTGCGAGACAACTTTAAGCAATGTAAGGATTCTGTGTGCACAACAGCACTGGAAGGATAAGTTAATGGTTTCAGTGGCTGCTTGATAAGAATGTTTGTTTAAAGGATAAAAAGGAGTTTTAAGGAACTGGTTTCATTCTATCTGCTGGTTTCACCCTGCTTAGGTAAATGTTTATTTTGTTATTGCTCTGGCTTTTTGACTTATACATCACACTGCATTAATAGTCAGACAGAACAGTCCAAATAATCATCAAAGGGTTTTATGTATTAATTCTTTTAGCTATATTGTCCTTAATTTTTCAAATCAGTCTTTCCTTTGTGAAACTGGAGCGCTCGGGGTGAACTGTTGTTGCTGACCATGTGGCTTGTGTTACAATGAGTTGGCTTGGGGCAGCTTTAATAATTAATTTCCTACAAGGCTGTACAAAATCCCACTTAAGAATTTTATATGAAATGCCTTCTGCATGTCTAAACATCCCTCTCCGTGACCACCTCTTCCCTGGGAATACCGAGGCATTCCCAAGCCAGATGAGAAATATAATCTCTCCAGTGTATCCTGGAGCTGCCTCCACCCACTGGGACATATCCCAAACATCTCAGCTAGTAGACAGTCCCTCCTGAATGACTGAGCTTCTCACTTCATCACTACAGGAGAGCTCAGATAAAATTCAAAAAGGAAGAAGGCTCATTTTGGGCACTACCCACTGGTGTGTCCAAAGCTGAATAATAACCTGTAATAATAACACAAGTCAATTCATGGGGGTAGATTTCATGTTGCCCGTGCACATCTCTAACTACTTTGGTGAACTCAGCCACAGTAGTGAACGAGCCATCCCTCTTGTTCCCAGACTCTCTTTCCTCTAAGCAAAATTTGGATATAGGACATTAAAAGTACTCCTTCTACTTTCTCACCATATGCTCAGTTGAGGTTCTCCTGTCCATGCTCTGACCAAACTACCCCCACACCCAAGTTTCTCCTTAAGCTATTGATAGAGCTGCACTGGCTTGGCGTGCTGGCACTCGTTATCTGCCTCCTGAGTCCCACAAACCAATCAGATTTGACCCTTCTTCAGCTTGACAGCTCTCTTCACCTCCATCTGATTTGGGGTTTCCCCCCAAAAGGCCACAACCACCTTATGGCCACAGCTCCATCAGCAAAGAAGGAGCAGAACAGTATCTATTTAGACTTAATGCCTCCAGCCTCCTTTGAAATTTCTGCTGGAGGTTTGAATTGAGGACTTTGTGGAACCAGGTGCTCCCAGCACCTCCCAGCACCCTCTTGCTATATGTTCGTGTACACCAGGTTAGTCCAGCATCCTTTCCCACCATCAGATCAGCACCGCTCCTCTCTTCACCCTAGTCTAAACATGTTCTGCAAAATATGCAAAATTTGTAGTGTATTTTCTTAAGTGCGTGTGAGAATTTTTTGGGGGAGTGGGTATTTTCACAGGAAATAAAAAGTATCCCGTGAAAAGTGTAACATGAAGAGGATGATAGGTATCCATGTTCCCTGTTACCTAAAAACAAAACAAAAGAAAAACACTCCCTCCTCTCTAAAACAAACCAAAAACTTGAAAAACTTGATTGGCTGGTGCAATCAAGAAAAAGTATCAGCTGAGTGTTGGACTGTAATATTACACAGTTCTGTGAATAAACAGCAACTAAATTATGGCCTGTATCTTCAAATGTAGTGAAATACTACAGTAAACATGAGTTGATTGAGAAGGTTTTAAATAAAGTACAAACCTGATTTCTTTGGTCTGATGTCACTCCTTCAGTGAAGCAAAGGTTGTCTGGTTTCTTTTTAGGGTGATATCGAAGTCTTGATGAGATGATAAGCAGGTATGTTCTCTCCTCCTTCTGTAACCTGACGTGTCTTCCTTTAAAACGTGTCAGTTGAAGTTTAAAAATGTCCACAAATGGTCATTCAAACACCGTTCACCTGGTTGTAGGATGACGACATAAACCTGTGCTTCTACCATGTACGTTTCTGAATGACAGGACTGTGCATGAGGAATGAAGCCGCGCCTGATAAAGACTGTAACTGGTTGAATCTGAAGGTGGCACCAGAGGAAAGGTCGTGTTATCTGAATCAGCTCTATCTAAATTGCTTTATAATAAGTAGGAAAATAAGTGTGTCATTCATAATACAGTCTGTACTATATTACCTTACCCCTGACTGTAACCTGTCACTTGTGTTTCAATATGCTGGATATTCGAGGTGCATGAATGGTTCTGATTTGGCCAGAGGTCGTGACATTTTGAGGTAGTTCCTTGAGTTCGGTCTAGTTTGTGTTACCAGGTTTAATAAATCTGCACAAACAGATTTCTGGTGACTGGGACGTTTATATTAAATCATAAAATGTTTTTGTTTAGGTTTTCTCATCACACCATAGTAAACAGGAAATGGAACAGCTGAGCAGGAGGGTGCAAACCTTGTGCCAAGCATCAGCAGGAGCTCGGTGTTCAAGATGGATGCATCATGTGGGGTTCCAGAGTCATTGTTCCACCCCAGGATGAACACAGATGATCGAAGTGCTGCATGAAGCTCATCCAGGCATTTCTTGAATAAAAAAAACGTTGCCAGATCATTAGTGTGGTGTCCGGGAATGCAGAGCTCTTTGGAGGAAAAGGTAAAAGTAGGTTCTCAATTTCAGAGAAACCAAATACAGGCACCACCTCCAATCCATCCATGGGAGTGGTCTAGCCATTCATGGTCCAGACTCCACCTAGGTTTTGCTGGCCAATATATGGGTCACATAATGGGTCCAGTCACTACTGACGGACTCCCGGGAATCTTGGATTGCATGGACTGGTTTTTCCTGTTCCAGTTTCTGATTACACCTCACACAACCACAGGCATGAACCCCAGATAAATTGTTGATGAGGAGAAAGTCCTCCTTCACCCAAATGTGGGAGCCAAAGTCACCCAGCCACATGGGTGACCTCTCCAAATGCCCTGATAGACTGAACTATTAAAAGAATGTGGTCAGTACAAGTAACACTATACATTAAAAAAAAAAAACTTTGTCAAATGATAATGAGATACTGTAAAACTATTAAAATATTTTGTTTTGTACGCACAAATACTTCAATCAAATCAAAGCATAAAAAAATCTGTCATTTTATTAGAAAACAGCTTGTGTTAATGCTTGTATAAAAGTACAACATGTATATATATACATTTGACATTAATGAAGTAAATATTGTAACAATGCAATAATCCCATGGCAACGTTTTTTTAATGAGTACATGTTAAAATGTTTCAAGTGGATGAAGACCATAAAAGTTTCCTCATTTTATTATAAAATTGTTTGTTAATGTTTGTATAAAAGTGCAGCATATATATACATTTGACATTAATAAACTAAAATAGCAAGAACAGGACCTCATAATGTCCTGATAAAGCACTGCCCCAATCACTGCCTCGCATTTTATCTCCAGTAGAGACTCAATCCTAAAGTCACAAGTTGCCTCATTTTAAAGTGACTTGTTGATTGATTGATTAACTTATATAGCATCTGTAGTCATCTACAGTAAGAAAGTTAAAGTATAACTGTAAGAATATTAAGGATTGAGTCTTTACGGGAGCAGCTTTACATTTAAGTAGCTTTATATTATATATAACAGCTTTAGTCTTCAATCTATAATATATACATGTACGTTCGTATAGTCCACGGGTCAACAGATGGTTTAATAAATATCACAGCATATAACAAAAACAGTTGTTAGACATTTAATACTATTTTGAAAGATGTTTGTTCTTTGTGTAAAAACTAAAGGAGCTAGAAAAGTATAAATTAGGACAGCACCCATTTCAGCGTAAGAAAAACCAAGACAGCCTTTTTCCATTTAATGTAACCTGTAGTTTCTCCACAGCTTTGGTGTTCGTAGCCATTGATTCAGCAGCTTCCTGCTCTCCACTGTCCGTCTCCTTAAACATCAGCAGAGACACTCCTCTGGCTGTTCTCCTTTGAGGTTGATCAGTCAATCAAAGTGGCGAGATATGAGCCCAGTGCCAGCAGCAATGGAGCTGACACTAGAACGGAAACCCACGTCACGATGGAGATGATGCCCCATTTTTTGGCCTGTCTTAAATACTCTGGAGCTCTCCTGTCTGTCGTCGGCTCGGCCTTCTCAGCTTTTTCAGCATCCTC